GTCAAACACAACCCTGATGCGGCCCTCAATGAAATTGAGTTTGACACCCCTGACTTAGGGAACGGGGCAATAAGATTAGTGAATGGCAAATTTGACAGAGAAAATGATCACTCATTGGCTTATATTCTCTGCCATTTGCAATTGACCAACATGAGCTAAGCAAAGTTTAACTCAAGATTTTCAGTGTGAGCTCCTGAGTCTCATACATAGACAACACAGCACACCAAATATTTTGCAGCTGTAATAGTTAAGAACAATCTGAGGAACGTTGATACAAGTTCATGTTAGTTGCAAATACTTTGCTGGAACTAAAGCAGAGGTGCTATGCTGCCGGTTTTCACCGGTGCGGGCGCGAGGCTCTGCCCATCCACCCTGATGTCATCACGGACCTTCTGCGCATGCTCCTGCTACTGAACAGGTAGTGAAGAGACTAGAATACCATTACTGAACTCAAGTTCTATATCTTGGTGTGGCAGACTCCTTAGTGATTAATTTTTAATATAATGCTAATTTTATCAAGAATTTGTGTTTGAATAGTGCTGATTTATTGCATTTTTCCAGGTGAAATTTTAGATTGCAATCTTTATTTCCTTTATACTCTGTAAAATAAAAGAAACAGTTAAGACTGCTTATGTGATGAGTGGGGGCTGAGTTGGAAACAGAGAAGGGACATTGGATCAATGTACTTCAATTATGTTAAATCAAAATATTTAGATGAAATCAGTAGCCTCTCAAATATATACAACATTTACAGAATATGTGAAATAAGGGTAAGAATATTTATTCTAAAGAAATTCAGGGCCAGGCCAAGATATTTTACTGCCTGAGGTAGAATAACAAATGGTGACCTTCTCCTCAAGTCACAATATATAATATAACTGAATAATTAATTCTGGCACTTATGAGAAACTCCCACAAGTATCTTTCTCTAGCAGGAAAAATATATACATATTTTATTAAATGGTAAACAATGTGCTTCCTTTTCATGACATCCAGAATCATTTGTCCAACTCAGCTATCACTATGTGCCTAATGTTAGGGCTGGTTGGCCCTGCAGCATTTTAAAGCAGGATCAACAGAATTAATATAACAAGATTGTTATAAAGATAACATGATGTGTGTAAAATGCTTTTTATTCTAAAACAGTGTAAAATAAAGTAAGTATAAAGTAAGGATTGTTATTATTATAAAGGGCCATTCTACTCATTATATATGCCTATTTTAGACCACCTCTTTGGCCTTAGTTCAGTTAACTTGTCAGGTAGCCTTATTTTATAATGGAAAATCTGCTAATCCTGCTGCTGGATAGAAATGTTAAGAACTGTCCCTTCTTGGAGGAATCTTTCATTTCAGACATTCCTAGAAAATCTAATAATGCTGGCATGGGAAGGGGCTATGCTAAAAATCCCTCCAAGGTACCTTAACATTGTGATGTTAGTCTCAAGAGACTTATCTTTAGCTGGTCTAGAAATAGTAATTTATTTCACTTGGAAAATACTAGCAATAGCAATAGCACTTAGACTTATATATTACCCCATCATAGTGCTTTATAGCACTCTATGAGTGGTTTACAAATATCAGCATATTGCCCACAACAATGTGGGTCCTCATTTTACTAACTTCGAAAAGATGGAAGGCTGAGTCAACTTCAAGCTCAACTTCAGGATCAAATACTAGACTGTAGGCATACTTAGGCTGCAAGACTGAATTCTAACCACCCTGCGCCACCAAGGATAAACTTTACTGTTATTCTAATAGCTTATCTGAAATGCTCTTTTGAGTATTAGTTGATTTGCTTTATATGTTAATGGTTGCCCATTATGTATGTATGTTTGTGTGTGTGTGGGGGGGGGGTATTTGTGCTGATAAATAAATAAAGGGAGACTAGTATAGATCTATTTCAAGCTATTTAGCTCTCATCAGCTAGCCATACCCTTCCTGCGATTCGAACCTGGGCTATATTACATCTTAGGCAGACGTCTTAGCCATTAAGCCACAGGCTCTCCTCCTTATCAGCTGAAGCCAGGGAAGAAGGTATATATTTAGTGTCACAACCCCTGGTATGCCCCAATTATATATTATTATATATAAAATTTACATTTTAGATAAAGCCAACTTCACACACACTATTTCCTCATTTCCCCAACCACTTTAAATAAAAAGGTTTGTATTACTATTTATAAGATTGATTGATTTTTTAAAATTAATCAATACAAAAATTGTGTTAAATGTTGGAGAAGCAAGAGATATTTCATATTCCAATATAAAGAACTGAGAAGGATCTTCATTGCCATAAAAAATACTAAGCCCTGAGTCATTTCTTTCATTGCATGTCCACTTTGAACATCCTCAGTGGAGGCTAGTGGAAATTCCAGCATGTTCCTTGAACTAGTCTGGCTTGTTCAGGAAGAATGAACAATACACCAGCAAGCTTCCTATTCTATCCCAAGCACACATTTTCCCTTTGCATGCTAACAAGCAAAACTTAACCAGATGAACCTGCTTTCATATTTAAAATGAACAGTTTACTACATAATTCAGCTGATTGTAGCGATACTTTCATCTCAGAGACACTTTTATCAAAGCCACTAATAGGATATCCAGGAACAACATATACATATTGTACAACATAGACAAGGAGATGTATGCTAACTATGTATTGATGTTATGAATTTGAATTGTGGATATTTATTGATACTTTGGTGATTTACAGGTAGACCTTATTTGGTAGTTTATAGGTAGACCTCATTTAGTGACTACCTCATTTTGCGCCTCATCACAGTTATGATGGTGATGGTGATGAAGAAGAAGTAACTTTACAACCAATCCTAATATTTATGAATTTTGCAGGACTGAAAAAAGATCATAAGCAGATAATTCAAAGGCCATTTGAATTGTCAGTCTCAGTTGTGGGCATTAAACAAGGACCACCTGTATTGCTTTTGTCATCTGCTCAGATTCACTTTGACGCGGAATAGAAGAACTTTGATCTCTTTTTTCCTCTCTGAAGTAGCTTCCCTGAAAACAGTGTCTTGAATTCATACTTCTAGGGAATTGTATATCAAAACCTGAATTTCAGGAAGCTGTGAAAATACTACACAATCGTTTTCTTAAATAAAACTGCATTTAGTGGGATGAATTAGACTTTTTTTCTGATTAAAAATGGTTAAAATTTATGATTAACCATTTCTGTCTATATTAATGGAATACATTCTCCCCACTAAATTAATTGCTTTGTTGTGGAGTTCAAATAATACATTGTAGAATACAAATAATGATTAAGTACTGTGGTGTCTGTACAAATAAAGCTATTTGTGCTGGGATGATTTATTTTGGAAATATGATTTCCAAAGTAGGTATGAATATAGATTTGCCACAACGGTATAGTTGTTACTTAGTATGACATTGATAAGTTACAAAGTGCACTGACTTATTTTGTAATGTGAAAAAAGTATATATATCTTTGAGTTTAATAGTTAAGTCTCCTCTGTATTATTACTTATTTTTATTTATGAGCACTAAAAGGAAAAGAGAAGAAACTGCTTGGAAAAGGAAAATAAGTATTTAATTTCTAACTTCTTTTTCTGTACTCTGATTGGTGATGTTTACAAACATTTAAATCACCTTAAAAACAAGAGTATAAATGTTTTTATTTGCCTTATTACATGCTCTACATATGGAAATCATTCCTGCTGAAATTTAGTTAGGCTTCTGTTGTGGAAATATGCTATTCATTTTGCCATTGGAAGTATTGTTAAAAGCAATCTTCATATTGCCTGTGTGCTACTGGGAATAGCACATCACTAGGGCCAACATCACAGGAGAGATTACTTTTTTCTCTGATCTGAAAAAAAGAAAAATAATTTTAATTGTATGTTCCACTGTATGTTTTGGAGACAATTCAAGAAAATAATTGGTTGGCCAAACCTTTTTAATTATGGAATTCAAACCTGATGTTGTTATGACAGCCCTTGTTTTAGGATTGACTTAACATTTTCTTCAGAGCATTATATTGTGTTGGGGATGTTTTACAGGGATTAGTTTGTGTTCCTTAGTTTGTGCTCTAAACCGGGGGTGGGCATGGCCAGTGCATGATATATCCGGCTCGCAGGTTGTGAGAAGGCTCTCCCAGGGGGAGAGCCTTCTCAGTGGGAGCGCCTTCCCTCTGGAATGAGCTGCCCCCGGAGCTTTGTATAATCCCCGACCTCCGGTCCTTCTGACGCGCCCTAAAAAGTTGGCTTTTCCAGCAAGCCAGCCTCGCCTGAACAAAACAAATCAAAGTATTGATTATTGTTAATTTTAATTCTTTTAAAAAATGTGTCATTGTTTATTTTAATTGGGTTTGAGGATATCCTATTTAATTTCTTTTTAACTTTTGTAGTATGTGTTTCTTTTAATGTTGTACGCCGCCCTGAGTCCTTGGGAGAAGGGCCGCATATAAATCGAATAAACTTCAAACCTCAAACCTCAATTAATCAACTGTATATGTATCTATACTTAGTAGTAAGCTGCTATAGACAGCCTATTAAAATTTCATCCAGGGACAAATAAGCTGTTGTTAGTTAATGATTTAGCTAAAAAAAAAAAACCTGTTTCTGGAAGCTTCCTCCACTTCTGATAGGACTTCCTTAATGATGGCAATTTGTCTGTTAAACTCCATGCATAAACCCATTCAGTACTTCTGCTGGTAATTAAACTTCTGTTATTTTCTCTCAGCTTTTCATCCATTTGATGTAATTGATTGAAATGATTCTGCTGTTATTTGAAACAACTATTGGTACATTCTAATTTTGATATTTATCTTATTTTATTATTTTATTAAATGTATATGCTGCCCATCTCACTACCAGAACAATATTTATTCCTCTGCTCTCTTTAAATCCACTGTAATATGTCATGAGAATTCTGGCTGAAAAGGAGACTTTTAAACACTATGGAATTGCATTACTTTTCAGTTTTGCTGATCTGTATCCAAGTCTTTTTCTTTTTCGCTTTTTTAGAATCTTATGTGCAGCATTGTGTTGTACTGGATTCTTTTGCTCAGGGAGTTAGCCTATCAGGAATATCAGATTTCAAGATTGAAAATAATACTTTTTACAACATTATGGGCCATGGAATTAAAACAGGTAAGTGAACTAAAATAAAAGATTACAGGGTTTGCAGAAATTTTCATCCCCAAAAGGATTATTTTAGAAACTTTTTTTGCTCAGGATTTCCCCAACCCCTTTGCTTTACATTTCTATTTCCAGAGATTTTATTTTCAAGTAAAAAAAATAACCATTCATATAAAAACAGAAAATGACATTTCAAGCAATTTTTATAAAATCAGAGAATTGAAAAATAGAAGTCACTAGTAAAGCAGGTTCTCAAGCTTTCATAAGGGTTCAGTGGACGTCTTGGTGTTTTCATGCAAACAGGTGTTCAAGACATTTTTGTGAAGCACTCACTAATGATGAAATGTGGAAGCATCACATGTCAGTGGCCTGCTAACCAAAAAGGAGTACTGTGGTATCACAGCTATGTTTCGGCACAATATATCACGGAGCAGAAATCCCTCCATCAAATGAATATCTAAATGAAAAGACACATTTGACACAGCCTGAAATCCCTGAGCCCAATGCTGGAAGGGACAATTCTTGGTGTTTCCTTTTTCTTTATCTAATTCGGTTGAGCTGAGATGAAGCTATGTTTGTGCTGTCTCCAGTTACAAACATACAAGCACAGAGTGGGATTTTAAGAATGGAAATGTCTGCACCATCTCAGTGGGGAGCACTAATATTAAGATACTTTTCAACTACAACTTCTTCCATTGATAAAGAATATAACTAGACTAGAACTAGATTCCTGGTTTTTATGCTAGCATCATAAGTTCTACATCAAATCAATATATCATACATTGAGTACATTCAATTTGTATGACATATCAAACAAAATAGTTGGGTCCCACAAAATAGAACAAATGTCTTCTAAAATCCATCCTTCCTTCCTTCCTTCCTTCCTTCCTTCCTTCCTTCCTTCCTTCCTTCCTTCCTTCCTTCCTT